GCCCCTTTGCAGCCTCTCGGGCTCTCGGGGGCTTGTCTGGGGTCGTGTGGGCGCTGCGGGGGGTGGTCCCGGGCCTCGCCTCTGGGGTGCCGCCCTGGGAGGCTCCCAGGACCGTCTTGGGCCAGTCTTCGGCCGCCTCGGGGTCCTCGTGAGCAGGCCTTGGGCCATCTTGGGGAGGTCCTGGGCCTTTCTTCTTGGGGGCCTCTGGCCTCGAGCAAGCCTTGGGCCATCTTGGGGAGGTCCTGGGCCTTTCCTTTTTGGGGTCCTCGTGAGGACGCCTTGGGCCATCCTTGGGGGAGGTCCCCGGCCGTCTTTCTGGGCCCCTCGAGGGGGCTGCAGAGTGCGTGGCGGGGCGGCCCGAAGGCCGCCCACGGTGCGCACCGCCCAGCCCGCCCCCGTGCCTCGAGACGGGGCAGGCGGGGCACCTGTGCCCGCGGCGTCTCGAGGGCCCTGCAGTGGAGACCCAGCCCAAGAAGCACCCTGCTGGCCTCCTCCTCCTCCTCCTCCTCCTCCTCCTCCTGCGACGGGCCGCGAGACGTCCCCACGCCAAGAAGCAGCGGCCGTCCTGGGGGTCCAGGGTGGGGCCTCTTGTGGACTGTTTCTTGTGGTCGAGCTCCCACTGTACCCCCACGGGTCCAGTCGCCGTTGGGGCACCGGACACGCCCGCTGGGGTTCACTTGGCTGAGTCCCAGCCCGTTCTTCCAGAAGTTGTCCCCCTGAGCAGCCCTCGCCCCGTTCCCCCCCCCCCCCCCTCCCGCCCGCCCTTCCTTCTTCCCCCCTTCCTGCATGGTGGCACAATTCGCTACAGTGGTGCCCCCGTTCAGCCAGCTCATCCGCCAGCTTCTTCCAGAGGTCTGGCCTGCAGCGGTGTGGCTCACACTGTGGTCGCCTACCGTGGGCGGGGCTCGCGGTTGGCAACGGCCGACACCTCCAGCCACGGGGCCCGCTGGGCGGGACCTTCTGGGCGGCGGTGAAGCCCATCCTGACGGTTCCTTGCCAGCGTCGGCCGCCCCCCCCACCGACTCGATTCTCTTGCCCAAGCGCGTAGAGGCCCGTTGCGTGCAGGTATTCTTTGGGCGAAGCTGGTCTCAGGGATGATGGGATGCGGTGCAGTGCACGTCAGGAAGCCAGAGACATTTCGTCTAGGTACCCTGGGGTTCTTCGCTGTGCGAGCTGCGTGGTGACTTGCCCGCGGGCGTTAAAGAAACTGCTGCATTCAGGATGCCTAGGGTCCTCCCCACACGTGCACCTCGTGCGCGCGCGTGGATTTCTGGTTTGGATATCTTGCGAGGTTTTCATGCTGCCGCATCCGCACTGTACTTCGCTCCTGGAAGCTGGTAATTGAATGTCAACCATCCTGCGCGGACGTCTGCAAGTGTGTTTGCACTGCGATTGTGCTCTTGCATCTCAGATGCCTCGGAGAGCTCGTCTGCAACGGCCAGGGTGAGTTATGCTGCTGAGCGCCAACACCTGCTGGCCCCAGCTAAGGGAACCCTTGTTCGCAACGCCTGCGCGTCAGGAGTACAAGGACTTGATCGCCTCCGACTCTGCGGCCAAGGAGCTGCTCGAGATCGCGAAGAACCGTTGCCAGGGACTTCAAGCGTTTCGCATGCGTGGCACGTCATCGGGTATGCACGACGGCACATTCTTGGGGTGGGTCCTTTGTCGCCGGCAACTCGCGCCCCCTTCATGCGCCTCCTTTCCCCGCGTCCCTCGCCCTTCCCCCTTGCCCTCCCCACGCCTTACCTTCCTCTACATGGTTGCTGCTCCAGCTCACGAGAGTCCGCTGCATGCCTTGCTCGCCTCGCTGCCCGAGGTTTGAACAAATTTTACAACCCGAGCCTGTATCTGGCAGGCCGACGCCACCCTCCGCGACCCCCCCTCCACGCACACGTCTCGCGAGCGACGCAACAAACGGGGTCGTCTTCGCCGACCTTGGCGCGTCGGCTGCCCGCGTAAGGCCACGCGTCAGCGCCCTCGCTCCCAGTGAGGCGTGCCGCGCCGGCTGCCCGCGTGAGCCACCGCGTGAGGTCGCTGTGCCACCTTGCAGAAGACCCGTTTTTGATCGTCGTTTACCCGAGCCCTCGCTCTTCGCTCTCCCCCCTCTCCTCCTCGGCTCTCCCAGAGGCAGTCATCTTCCCTCCATGTCCCTCCCTCCTCTTCTTCCCCTATCGCCTCCTCTTCTCCTTCCCTCTCCGCCTCCGCCCTCCACTTCTCACCCCTCCTCCTCTCGCTTGCTGCCTCCTCCGGCAGCATCTGATCGGAGATGGCCATCGGGCAGCCCTCCTCCCTCTCCCCTCCTATTGCGGAGGCCTTACGGCCGGTACCGCCGACCCTGAAGGAGGGACCTCCTCGGGATGCCCGCTGGCGACCGAACGCCTGGGTCCCGCGCGGTAGGGGCATCGCGGGCAACCCCCCCGCCAAGACCGAACTGTCGGCGGAGAGCCGCATCGTGGTCGACATGGGCAATCCGGACGGCATCGTGAACGCCTTGGCTTCGTTGTCGTCGCCGTCGCCGTCGTCGCTGTTATCATTGTCGCCTTTGCCGTCGCCGTCGCCGTCGTCGTCGTCGTCGCCGTCGTCGTCAACATGTAGTCGTCGCACTCCTTGTCCTCCTCCGCCTCGCTTCTGTTTTATCCTCCAGCTTGTCCGTCTTTTTCCTCCTGCTGCTGCTCCTGCTTGTCCTGCTGTTCGTGCTGCTGCTGTTCCTCCTCCCCGCGATGATGATTATAATGATGGTGGTGGTGGTGATCATGGTGGCGGCGTCGATGATGGTGATGATGATGCTGCTGACAAGGGAGCCGATGATGCTGGTGATGATGATAGTGATGATTACGATGATCACGATGATGATGGCGATAATGACGCTGCTGCTGCTGCTGATGATGATGATGATGAATCTGATGATCATGACGATTCTGATGATGATAATGCTGATGCTGATGATGCTGATGACGATATTGATGCTGATGCTGATATTGATGATGATGGTGATGATGCTGCTGATGGTATTTTTGATGGTGATGCTGCTGCTGATGACTCTTGTGCCTATGGTGCCGATGATGAAGATACTGATGATGGTGATGCTGCTGCTGCTGCTGCTGCTGATGATGATGATGATGATGATGATGATGATGATGATGATGATGATAGTGAGGACGATGGCGATGATGCTGATGATGCTGCTGCTGATGATGATGATGATGATGCTGATTGTGACGATGATGCTGCTGATGATGACGATGATGCTGCTGATGCTGATGATCATTATTACGCTGATGGTGATAATGCTGATGCTGATGCTGATGCTGATGCTGATGCTGCTGATGATGATGGTGGTGGTGATGAGGATGCTGATGATGGTGGTGGTGATGATGATGATGATGTTGGTGATGGTGATGATGATGATGCTGCTGATGATGATGATGATTCTGATGATGATGATGCTCATGCTGCTGCTGCTGATGATGATAATGATGATGATGATTCTGATGATGATGATGCTCATGCTGCTGCTGATGATGATGATGATGATTATGATGATGATGATGACGACGATGACGACGATGATGCTGATGGCGATGATGATTATGCTGATGATGCTCATGATGGTGATCATGATCATGATGATGGTGATCATGATGATGATGATGATGATGATGCTGATTATGCTGATTATGCTGATTATGCTGATTATGCTGATCATGATGATGATGATGCTGATTATGCTGATTATGCTGATGATGCTGATGATGGTGATCAGTCACGTACCTGTAAACTTTTGGCATCCGAAGGAAGCCTTCGTCCTGCCCCTCCCTGCTTCGTTCTGCCTGCCCTCGGCGCGGCCCTCTTACTCCACCCGTGCAGCGGGTCTTCGGTCACGCCCTACGGGGTGGAGTGTGGCCAGAACACCCGCGGGCGACGATCGCACAGCACTCCGCTCCTCTACCCAGGGCATCGCCCCTGCCCAGGTTCCGCCAGGAAGCGCCCTGGGGGCCTTCGGGGCAGGAGCCCGGAAGAGTTCACCCGGCCAGAACGAGCAGCACATTGGCCCCATAAAAGCTTACATGGCATGCAAAACGATGCAGCGGAGCAACAAGTTTACATGGCCCTCTCCCAGGAACAGTTCACATGGCCCAGAAGTTGAAACATCTTTTGTCCGAACCCGACCCCCGTCCGATCGCATAGACGATGCATCCCGTGGAGGCGACGGGCGAGGCGGCGGTGAACCAGGCGATGGTCTTCGGATGAAGCAATATGTGGATGGGGCCGACCGAGGCGTCACTGAAAAAGCCTAAGTTCAAATAGTAGTGTGTGTTTCCGCTCTTTAAGATGAGGAGGCGGAGCAGGATGCGGAGTAGGATGAGGACGAGTGAGGGGCGCGGTGCGACGCGGAATCTATTTTTGTGGGGCGGAGGGGGCTTTGGGCGGGCGGAGGCTCCACTAGGCCGCTGAGGAGCGCCGGGGCGGGTTGGCATGGAGTGCGGGGAAGGGGGGCGGGGAGGGGTAGGAGGGGGGCGGGGAGGGGGTGAAGGGGTTAGAGGGGTGGGGTGGGAGGGGTAGGAGGGGGGCGGGGAGGAGGTGAGGGGGGTGCGACGCAGAAGAAAGTGGTCGGGGCGGAAGGGGCATTGGGCAGAAGTTCCACCAGGCCGCTGGGGAGGGGTGTGACGGGGGCGGGGAGGGTAGGGGTGTGGTGCGACGCGGAATAAATTGGTCGGGGCGGAGGGGGCATTCGGCGGAAGTTCTTCTGGGCCGCTGGGGAACGCTGGGGAGGGGTAGGAGGAGGCCAGGGAGGGGGGGGTGCAGTGCGAGGCGGAGTAAAGGTATCGGAGCTCTAGACACCCGGAGCAAGATAATTAATGTTCACACGTGCAAGCAACACGTTGGCTTTATGTTGTTTCTGGCAGGTCGGATAGGACCACCCGCACGCGGTCCCTAAATGCCAGGCAGGTGGCATAGTAGGATCCGGCATTTTTAAGGAACGCTGCTGATGATGGCGA